AATATAGAATAAAAGAATAGAATAGAATAAAAGAATAGAATAGAATAAGGAATAGAATAGCATTAGGAATTAGAATAGAATAGAATAGAAATAGAATTACAGAATAGAATAGAATATGGAATAGAATAGAATAGAATAGAATGGAATATAAATAAAATTACAGAATAGAATAGAATAGAATATGGAATGGAATGGAATAGAATAAAATTACAGAACAGAATAGAATACTAGAGTTGGAAAGGGACCTTCAAGGTCCTCTAGTTCAACCCCCTGCTAAGGCAGGAAACCCTAGACCATTTCAGACAAATGATTGTCTTCGTGGTGGTCAGAGAGGCTCCCTGAATCTTACGGTGTGTATGTGCGTCTTACACACAGAAAGGCTGTTGGGTATTTGACCTGCTGTTCCCTTCCTCGTTCCAGGAACCAACAGATGATGAGAAGGCCCGTGTCCGCTGTGGGGTACAAGAGACCCCTCAGTCAGCATGCGAGGATGTCCATGATGGTCCGTCCAGAAGCTCGGTACAGGGTGAGCTCCGTCTATATTTTGGGGGGTTGTGGGTGGGGGAAGATCTGGAATAACTATAAGAAGCGATGCGTAAAAGAAGCGCCAGCCAGCCCTTGTCTCACCTGAGGAAGGTGTGCACTCAGTGGAAAGACAGGCCCTCACGTCCTGTAAAAAAAAAAAAAGGAAAGAAAAAGTGATTTCTCTTCGGAGATTACTGGTCTCCACCTCCCGTCGTGGTCTGGAACTGTGTGAAGAGCACAGGCGGTCCTCGACTTATGAAAGTTCATTTCGTGACTGTTCAGAGTTACAAGGTCACTGAAAAAAAAAGTGACTTGGGACCATTTTTTCCACACTTATGAGTGTCCCCATGGTCATCTGATCAAAACTCAAAATAGTTGGCAACTTGACTCCCATTGACGACCGTCGCAGTGTCCCCTTTTGCGACGACCCGACGAGCCAAGTCAATGGGGGAATTCACTTAACGTCCGGGTTCCTAATTTAAGAACGGCAGTGATTCCCTTCAAAATTTGCGGCAAGAAATGCCGTCAAATGGGGGCAAAACTCGCCTCCCAAATGTCTCACTCGGCCATATAAATTTTGGGGTCAGTTGTGGTCATGACTGTTAAATGGGGTGTGCCTCATTGGTTTTTTAAGGGAATCGTTGCAGTTCTTAGATTCGTCAAAACAGCCGTTAAGCGGTTCTTGGTTTCCCCAGTTGATTGTGCTTGTCCAGAGGTCGCAAAAGGGGATCAACGTGATTCCGGGACACAGCAGCTGTCATAACTGTGAACCAGTTGTCAAACATCTGAATGTGACTATGGGAATGCTGGAATGGTCATCAGTGTGAAAAAATGGTCATAGCTCACCTTTTTTTTATTGCCGCTGTAACTTCAGATGGTCACTAAAACGAACTGTTGTAAGTCGAGGACTACCTATACTGCAGACTACTTTTGCTGAGTGACGGCTGCCAGCAGTTTGGCAGCTTAAATCTCACCAGGCTCATGGTTGACTTAGCCTTCCGTCCTTCCGAGGTGGGTAAAATGAGGACCCAGATTGTTGGGAGTCATAGGCTGACTCTTTAAACTGCTTAGAGAGAGCTGGAAAGCACTATAAAGTGGTATATAAGTCTAAGTGCTATTTCTATTCCTTTTCTTTCTTTCTTTCTTTCTTTCTTTCTTTCTTTCTTTCTTTCTTTCTTTCTTTCTTTCTTCTTTCTTTCTTTCTTTCTTTCTTTCTTTCTTTCTTTCTTTCTTTCTTTCTTTCCTTCCTTCCTTCCTTCCTTCCTTCCTTCCTTCCTTCCTTCCTCCCTCCCTCC